ATCATTCGTCTCTCTTTGTTGTCTCTTAATTAATAAATGGATTGTTCATTACAGTTACAGAATGTTCCATATGTAGAGGATTAACGAAACCATTTGTTTGCGATCGTAAATTTATTGTACAAATAACTAAGAGTGTTTGATTTCAAAAGATCGCGGTTTATTAAGAAATATCATCCGATCCATGGAAATTATCTGGTTTTATCAACTGGCATATAAAGAGTTACATCTTCAATCAAATAAATGCCTTCTATTCTCATTGCTCTCTCTCTCTCTCTCTCTCTCTCTCTCTCTCTCTCTCTCTCTCTCTCTCTCATAAATGTTTTTCAAATCACTGTTTGATATCCTTTTTCATGAGTGCGTTTTTTAACATCTTTTTGCATTTTAAAATTAAATCAATTAGAAAAGAAAATGTTTGGTTGCGTTCCTTTTTATTAATAAAAATGTGCAGTCATAATTAGCCAGAGAAACTACAAGGTTTTTTTCCGGTATATCTAAAATACTAGTAACCATATATATGTGATAAACTTATCATCTGTGAAGACAGCATCTTGGAGCTAATTACTTATATTCAAGTTGGTATCATAGATATAGATTTTTATCAGTTATTTCCCCTGTCAAAATTAAAGAAATGTAATGTTTATAATGGTGGTATAATTATATTTAATTTAGGTCACTTTTAAATTGAATATTTGCTGTTTTAAAAAAATGTAAACAACACTTTATAAATTTCCTGCGTTTCTGGATTTACCTTCCTCCATCTTTATATTTAAGTTATTGTAAAAAGAAGAAAATGGTAATGAAATCACTTATACAATAAACAAAAGGTGCGTAAGTATACATAACAAAATTTAAAAATTCATTATTATACGCAAATCTTTGATATAAAGTAACAAAAATAACACCGAGGAGTGTAGCCAATAATCAATTGAATCTCCAATCAATTCAAAACGTCAAAATTTCTAGGGCAACTGTGACTAAAAGTAATTGTTTTCAGTTATACTTAGTTATCTGTAATATCATATTTTTTGTAACTACAGGGAAGTTTATCCCGTTTATTTCATCGATTAATGTACACGTGATGATAGAGACGATGATGCCGATCGCTCAGTCACTTAATCTTTTTTTTTTATTTAAAGCTTACTCACAAAGATTTTTTACTATCTTTAAATCTGGTTTTATATTTATTTCTTGTATTTAACTGCTATTATGCACAGAATTCATTTGTAATAATTAATCATACTCTTTGATATTAGAGAACACCTTATGTTTCCGTTCAATAAGAAACTGAATGTGTAATTGAGTGCGCGGATTAATGTTCCCCACTCTAGTTCTTCTTTAAAGAAACATGTCGACTTAAAGAACATCAATTTCAAAATATTAATTGAAATTTCACCAACATAAGATCGTGAATTTTTCCTCTGAGACTAAAACAATTGTAAGAATTTTGTCTTTTTCAACCACTAATGTGATACATCAGTTTTGGTTTGATAGTTTGATACAGTGGGTTGTAATTGATACGTTTTGAACGCCCGTAATGGCTATGCCTACATTTGTCCCTTAAGTGCTGAAAGTAATAGCTTTTTGAAATTACAAAACTTTTTTGATTGGAAGTGATTATCTCCGACATGTGGTACACTTGTACTCTAGAGAATAAAATAAAATAAACACTTTGTTTCACTTGTGATTTTAATTTTCTTCTTTCTTAGAACGACAGTTTCATTTCTTTTTAAAGTTCAATATTCGAGTAGTTGTAATTATGTGCGAACAAAAACTTTATACGACCATGCCAACGTTAGTTTTCTATAGTTGTCTGTTTTGATTGTATTCATCTTCTTCAGGTACGGAAAAAATGCTGGAATTGTCATTCATTGGTTTAACTAGGAATCTTACAGGGACGAATATGAATTAAAAAATCTAAAGTTTGTTTCTAAAATGTGATCATCATTTATGATTCACAAAACTTGAATCCCAGCTGAAAACCCGGGGATCGCATAGTGTTCTTAAATTCCGAAATCGTTGTAGTCCTTGTCGTTGACGACATCATCAACTGATTAAGGGAGCTACCATTTGATTTTTAAAGGGGGGGGGGGGGGGGGGGGGGCTAGGATGAAATTTGAAAAAAATAGGCAGGACAGGAGTTTTGAATAAAAAAAGGCAGGATGAGACACTTTGCCAAAAAAAAAGGCAGGATGACAATTTATGTAAAAAAAAAAGTCAGGATAAACTAAAAAAAAAAGGCAGGACCGAATAGAGTGAAAAATAAAAAGGCAGGACAGAGATTACAACTAAAAAAAATGCAGGACAACATTTTTCATCCTAGCCCCCCCCCCCCCCCCCCCTTCCCCCCCCCCCCCCCCCCCATAAAAATCAAATGGCAGCTCCTAACCTTATTGTCTATGAAGACAAATTAGCGATTTACAACTTTAAAAGTAAGTAAAAAACCAGTACAGAATTTCAGGAAAATCTAAACAGAAGCTTTTTTTAAGGAAAAAAGAAAGATATTAAAAAAAAGTTTACTGTAAATTGGATTGTTGCGGATACTAAATGGTTACCCCAAAATAAAACAATTACAAAGTTCATGCTTTGGTAAGGGAATTTCAAACAAAAATTATTCTGCTAAAAAAATACAAAATAGAAGGTGCATAAACGCATTACATGGTTAAGATTATGAGAAAGTTTAAAAAAATTGTACTTAGGGATTTATGAGGTGTTGCGGAAACAAAATGGGTACCCCCTTAAAAAGCAAAGACAAAAAATTGCTTACATCCACGTCATTTGGTTTCTGGTGAAAAGTTGTCTCATTGGCAATCATACCACATCTGCTTAAACTATACCAAGTCCATGTTTTATCTACTTGAAAATTTATTTTTACGACTACGAGATAGAAGTTTCCCGTCCGAAGTAGTTTCCATGTTTTCTATATGGACTGTGCTCCGACGTCCCACGATGTGCTCCGACGTCCCACGATCCTAGCAAGTACTAAAAATAGCCGTCTGACATCAGAACCTTCTCAGACCGTCCGTCCAGAAGTCAGTGAGTGCCCATACGACCATGCATGTAATGATATATTGTATTTTGTTGTTATACACCCGCTTTCTAAAAAGTCTTCCAGGAGGACAGTATGCTGTGGCTTCGACAAATGAAACATATTCATTGTGATCTGTGACACAATTAGTTTTCCTATAAAGGCATGCTTGAATCCGTAAAACATTCGGAGAAATTTCAGTTTTACCAATTAGATTAATAACTGTCTCAATAGCAGTAACTCTCTTTTAAGAAATCATAATAAACAACACACTTTAACTGGGAGATATAAACAACAGATGCACATGATATGACAAGGTTGTTCCATAAAAATACAATATTCACAATAAAAAGTTAGTCATTATTTTGTTTTCCCTGTTTATAAGGTTATTTTTATTTCATATTCATTAAAATAGAGATAAGTGCGATCACCAATATCCGAATTATTAACTAGAAGGAAATTCTCTAAATATCAGAGCATGTTATGGAAACGTATATTAGTCACCAGTTGATCAGTTCTCAACACAACTTGACGACAAAAACAAGAGGGAAAGTTGCATTGTTATTGAACTTGTACACTTAAACAAGTTTACTTGTTTAATTAATAATTCAACTTGTAGACTTACTACAAGTTGACTTGTTGAGTTCTTCTGAACAAGACCACAGACCAAAAAGTGTACAAAATATTATTGTGTCCTAGTAAACTTTGCCGTTTGTACACTTGCTAAATTGAACGTTTCTTTCTTGCTTTAGAAAAGTATACTTTCCGAGTTAATCGTGGTCACTTGTCGTGTTTTTTCTCGCCTTTCTTACATAGTATAAGTTCATTTGTATTGTTTTTATGAATAAGTCAACTTCACACAATTGAACTTGTTAAGCAAATATCGTTGGTTTACAAGTGCAAAGTAAACATAATTTTCATATTGAGCGCGAAATTATAGCGAGAAGATCTCTGAGCAAGAATGGATACAAAAATGGAGACCGACTGTAACAGTGATGAGGTAATTAACTATAGTTTTTTAACGGGCCTGTGACTAAACGTTAATATTGTAAAAATGTCAAAGGTGTGTAATATCAGAGACTGACGTAGATACGTCTCTTTTAATATTTATCTATTAGCGATCATCAGGCGTCATCAGGCTACTTATCGAGGTAGCTATCTTTATCCTTTTCCATGAATCACGCCTGGGCTTGAAATCATAAAACTTTGCTTAGTGCTCGGAGCACAAAAATCGTGCTTGAAACATGAAATCCAGCATTATGATTCGTTAAATTTGGAGTACGAGTTCTAAAAACTAACTCGAAAGTTTTATGACCGAGAGGCCTGGTAAACCATCAAATTTCAAGTGAGAGGTTTAGCTAACTATAAAACCAGGTTTATTACACATTTTTCTACATGAGGAAATGTCTGTACCAAGTCAGGAATATTAGTATTTACATTTGTTTTCCTTTTTTTATGTGTTTGAGCAGAGATGTATATATGTCTCTGGTTTGAGCTTTTTGTTTTGCTCAATCTATTTTTTTTTTTAGATTTGGGTTCTATCGACGATATGACTTAATAATTGGCTTAATTTGGTACGAAGCCACGTGGATACACACACATGCGTAACAACCGTTTCATTCCCTTTTACATAATATCCCTATCTTTCGTTGAACTCATGCAATCGAATCAATAGTCAATGAAAAATTATACAATTTATTGTATTGCAATTCAGTAATCAGTAATAATACAGAGTCTTTCGATAAATCTGAAGTAGAGGTAAATGTATTTACAATTTAAGATTTGCTAAATATTCCTTTAATGCATTTTGAGGTCTAGAACAGTGTCTTATCTGCTGAATCTGAGTCACGGAACATGATTTGGATGATTTTGTGAAAAAAATATCTGGCCAGCATTAAACAAATATAAACCAGTGGCGGATCCAGAACTTCTTGTAAAGGGGGGGGGGGGGCGCTGACTGACCTAAAAAGGGGGGGCACTCCAGTCACGCTTCAGTGATTCCCTATATAAGCAACCAAATTTGGAAAAGGAAAGTCCAGGAAAAGAGTGAATCCCCAGGATATTTATTAATATAAAATAAAGGGATATGGAGTAAATGTGTACATGTAGGACAAAATTGCAAACATAGATAGAAAAATACAAATAATTAATTAACGGGGCTTTTATTTCTGTTCTTCATTTTTTTTTTTCGAATAATGCGTGCACAGTTAAATGATCCAACAAATAAAAAACAAAACCCTTAAAATGATCTGCTATTGCAATAGTTATTGGCATTGTAACTTTTTCAAATTATATTTTCTCTGATTACAAGTGTTACTTTTTAGGAGAGAAGAATGGCAGCCCAGCTTGTGGTAAGACCACTTAAAGCCTGTAACAACACCAGAGAGCAGCGAAAAGGTATTGTCTGTTCCACTACAGGTTATGAGGAGTTTCTAAATACATGTAAGTTAGAATTTTATTTTCTATGCTGTATTAATATTTATTTTATACATGTAATTTAATACATACTTATTTAAAATATTCTGATTTGTTACCAAAGCTTTTATTAAATTTGCAACATAAGATACATGTGTCTTATTTCCAGTTTTCTACACCAACAGCAATTTTAGATTTTTTTTACTTTTAGAGGTTATTATCTTTCTTTACACCAAAATTGAATCTAATGAAACACACACATTCAAGGTACCCCCTCCCCTATTTTCAGTAAGTGGAAGACCTTATTGTTATTTTTATGTTGTACACTGCAAACATTATTATTCAATTATGATTGGAACAAAAGCCATTGGAGGAGAAAATCTACAACTGAGGCTTACTGAGTATTATCAAACTTGTTCTGTATCCAGCAGTAAATATTGTAGAAAGGGGTTGTAATCCACACATACAGTTCCCCAAGTCTAACAAACATTTGTACATAAAATTGAAGATAGAAATGGGGAATGTGTCAAACAGACAACAACCCGACCATAGAAAAAACAACAGCAGAAGGTCACCAACAGGTCTTCAATGTAGCGAGAAATTCCCGCACCCGGAGGCGTCCTTCAGCTGGCCCCTAAACAAATATATACTAGTTCAGTGATAATGAACGCCATACTAAACTCCAAATTGTACACAAGAAACTAAAATTAAAATAATACAAGACTAAGAAAGGCCAGAGGCTCCTGACTTGGGACAGGCGCAAAAATGTGGCGGGGTTAAACATGTTTATGAGATCTCAACACTCCCCCTATACCTCTAGCCAATGTAGAAAAGTAAACGCATAACAATACGCACATTACAATTCAGTTCAAGAGAAGTTCGAGTCTGATGTCAGAAGATGTAACCAAAGAAAAAAAAACAAAATGACAACAATACATAAATAACAACAGACTACTTGCAGTTAACTGACATGCCAGCTCCAGACTTCAATTAAACTGATTGAAAGATTATGATTTCATCACATGAATATCAGACACAATCCTTCCCGTTAGGGGTTAAGTATCATACCATCATAACATATATGAGAAAAACATAACCCGTGTCAATTTGCCTGAACAACCTTTTTTTTTTATAAATGTGTTTTAATAGTTCCGATGCAAAGACCCTATAAGTGAATCAATATTAACACCAAAATATGCAATCTTTAATGACCTGACAACAGTATAGTAACTATATCCCTTCTTAATAAGTCTATTTAATGTTTATGTTTTACAATATTGACAATTGTTACTTTAACTATTATCATGCCCCAAAAAGAATACACACAAAACAACAATTGCCCTGGCACTTATGTCAAAATTTTTAATAGTTTTCTTTCAAGATATTTATAAACAACTTTGTGTATTTAGTTGCTTGCATGTAATTGAAAGACAAGGTAATTTGGTTATTATGATTGGCAAAGTTCAAAGGGTTTCATATCAGACTCCACCTTTGAGCTTGATTGTTTCTTGATTATTGCAGACTTTGTCAATCATACTGAAAATGTATTAGTACTGTCATTTTATTGTCCCCTGTGAGGTGCCTTGTTGGGGACATAGAAATACTGGGTGTCTGTCTGTCTGTTCGGTCTTGTTAGCACTCTCACATGTACAATTTTACCAGAATTTTATGAAACTTATTTTATAGGTTTTTATATTACAATGTATTAGTAATGTCTCGGACAAGTTTGAAAATGTGTGGCGATCAACTTTCTCTAAAAGAGTAATGTCCCTTTGAAATATTAATTATATGGAAAATAGCCTTGTAAGAGTTCTCAGGGGTTTGCTAGGATTAACTTATTTTATAGGTGAAAAGCAATAATGTCTCAAACAAGTTCTAAAATGAATGCAGATCAATTTTTTAAAAAAAGTCATGCTCCTTAGAAATATTTATTCTATGGAAAATGGCCTTGTTAGCCCTCTCGCATGTACAATTCTTGGAAGAATTTTATGAAACTATGTCATATGTTTATATAAGTTATGTATCAACAAGTTCGAAAATGGGTGTGAGAATCAAGTTTTTCTTAAAGAGTTATTCCCTTTGATAATATCAATTATATGGAAAATGGCATTGTTAGAGCTCTCACGGGTATTAGTCTTGCCAAAATTTTTATGAAACTTATATTATAGGTTTATAAATGTATAAACAATGTCTTGGACAAGTTAGTATATGGGTGCAGATCAACTTTTTTGAAAGAGTTATGCCTCTTGGAAATGTTAATTGTATTGAAAATAGTTGTTAGAGCTCACACAGGTACAATTCTTAACAGTATTATATGAAACTTTTTCTATAGGTAAACATCAGCAATGTCTTTGACTAGATAGTAAATATTGGTGCTGATCAACTTTTTAAAAAAGAGTTATGCCCCTTGTAAATGTTAATTGTATGGAAAATAGTTTCAATCTCTTGCAATCTCCTGTGTTCATCTTGCCACATGTGAACTATATTCTTTTATTTTTAAAAGTCAAAACTAGCTAGTAAATTCACCAAACTATTGTCATTTGCCAATTGGATTTAAATAAGCTACCCTAAAGAAACAACCAAATGTTCAGTTAACATTTCATTTGTTTATATTTGTATTACTGACATGAGAAGTATTGGGAACTATTTTTAAATGTGTTCTAATATCACTGTGTCTAAACTACCCCGACGAAAAATGTTTGGACTCAATAGTATCTAATGTCCGGTACGGTGACGGACAATCAACAGACAGAGAAAGGTAGAAATTGTGTTTATTTATATGATGTTTTAATTATATTGAAGAATATACATACACATATAACTATTTTCGATAGTGTGATGTAATATTTTCTACCACCGTTCTAGATTGATGGATAAATAAGTAAAAAGGCACATCAAAATGGTGAATTGAGTGAACCCTGCCTCGAATTTGTTTAATTTCTCTTTAAATTGTGCACACTGTACAGAAAGAAAGGTACGGAAAGAAAGATATTAACACGGAGATTTCAAGACTTGTCACTATGATCACCTGAATATTTGCATGTCTGTGCATGGAATGAAAGAAGTGGGTCATGTCAAAATTGAAGCACCCGGTTTTGTCAATGTGTACGACCCGGTTTTGTCCTTAAATTTAACAAAGCAGACCCGGTTTTGTCATAGAAAATAATGCATAATCGCATGACGAAAATTAAAATATGGCGTTCAACAGCAGTTTGAGTGATCGTTGAAAAACATTTTCTTTCAGAGGATAACTTATAACCTTTTTGAATCCGTAAAGACTTGATTCCTGCTATTTTAGAAGAAAGCAAATTTCAATAATGTTTTGTATAAAAAAAAAGGGATAAATTGAAAAGAAACGAAGGTTTTGTAACGCAATTGGATTTTTTTATATCAACTATGTAAATTTAAGTGTTCAAACTTAAATAGCGTACGGCCTTGAAAATTTGAGGACGCACATTTGATATGTGATTATCTTAAAGTTCCGCTCTACTTAAAGGGGGAGACAGTATGATCGTTTGAAAATAAATATTTTAAAACTAAACGTTCATTATAAAGCAAGAGAATAAGACAAATGTATATGCATGCAGAATCGCCCAAGAAAGGGAATTTCCATGCGGCGCAAAGGATCACAATAATAGTGCGTTAAAAATCTGTTTACCCCTCCTTGTTAAAATAATACTAAGTATAAATTAGTATAATAGTCTTAGGCCATCCGGAAATTGCAATGATGATTATTTGATTAGTAATTTTATAAATAAACGATGTTTTATCTCTTATTTGTTTCTTTTCTTTTTTAACATTAACAAATTCATTAATGCACTAGTATCAAGTTAATTGTTAACAAGTACAACTATTATATATAGGTTTACCTCTTCATTGTATAATGATTATCGTACATTGACAAATGTTCTACAATTTAAGCACGTTGGTCAAGTTTAAAATTGTCAATATGCAAGGGCGGATCGAGGCCATGATTTTTGAAAGGGGCGTATTCATAAACGGATTTTATACCGCCAAGCGTAGCAATAGGAACTTATTTTTTACGATTGTTTGTTAAATAAAAAATCATATATAAATCGTAAAAAACATAATAAAATAATTATTTCTAGCCACCAAAAAGGGGGGAGGGGGTCGGCGTACTCCCTCTACCCCCTGGATCCGCCACTGATATAATGTAACTATATCGTATACCATCATAAAATTAAATAAAAGACGAAAAAACAGAGACAGTCGCCAATCGCATATTTACTATAGGGGCTCTGTAATCAAATGAGTTAAGCCTTTTTCAACTCACTGAATTTTATAGTTTGTTCATATGTTGTGCTGTTATCCCAGCTTTTTGTTGTTTTTTTTTTTGTTGTTTTTTTATTTGTGGGGGGGGGGGGGAGGGGGATTGGGAGGGAGCGCTTACACGTTCAACCCCGCCATTCTGTATGTGCCAGTACCGAATCCAGGAGCCTGTAAAACGATGGTTGTCTTTTGTTGCTGTATATTATACATGTATTTGTTTTTCGTTTTTTATTTTGCACATAAATCAGGTCGTTAGTTTTCACTTTAGTTTTATTTACAGTTTTCATTTCGGGGCCTTTTTTTAGCTTGCTATGCCGTATGGGCGTTTCTCATTGTTGGATGCCATACGGTGTTCTATATTTGTTAACTTTTACGTCATTTGTTCTTTGATGGAAAGCTGTCACATTGTCATTTTTCACGGTCTAAACTGCCACTTAGGTTGTTCTACGAAGACGAAGACGAAGATATTGGACGTTGTAATGTTGCAAACCAAATTTTATTTATAAAAAGAAATAATTCTTTCATGCCATGCTCAACGCTCATTTTAACATAGGTAGGCATTATATTTGTTAAATTTTTTAAACCAAGCGTTAGAATTAATGTATCCATCTGATGAATTAAGCCTTTTTCAACTGATTTTTATAGTTCGTTCTTATACTGTACTGTTACACCAATTTCCCAGGGTAGGGGGAGAGTTGGGATCCCGCTAACATGTTTAACCCCGCCACATTCAGTATATATGTACCTGTCCCAAGTCAGGAGCCTGTAATTCAGTGGTTGTCGTTTGTTGCTGTGTTACATATTTGTTTTTCGTTCATTTTTTTCTACATAAATTAGGCCGTTAGTTTCCTCGTTTGAATTGTTTTACATTTGTCATTTCGGGGCCTTTTATAGCTGACTTATGCAGTATGGGCTTTGCTCATTGTTGAAGGCCTTACGGTGACCTATAGTTGTTAATTTCTGTGTCATTTGGTCTCTTTTGAAGAGTTGTCTCATTGGCAATCACACCACATCTTCTTTTTTATATCATAAGGAATTAATGTAAGAACATGCTATAAAGTATTTATTTTCATTTAAACTTAGTTCGAAGATAAGTTCAATAAGGTATACGTATAGCATTCAAAAATGTCTACTCCCTATTTCGAAAAGTTCCCGTTTGAAATATATTTTAACACGACATGTTTGTATTGCAATAACATCTTTATAACATCTTTTTGACTCACATATTTAATTTCTTCCGATGGGCAATGTTCAGATCCGTGTTAACGTAGCTTTTCATAAATATGTGGTTTCAAAACAAAACAAAACTGGGTCCTATACTGAGACAAAACCGGGTCCTTATGTAATAAACAACATTGACGAAACAGGGTCCTTCCATTTTGACATGACCCATTTCTTTCGTTCCATGCACAGAAATGCAAATATTGAGGAGCTCGTAGTGACTAGCCATGCAATATCTGTGTTAATATCTTTCTTTCAGTACTTTTCTTTTCGTACAATGTGCACAATTTAAAAAGAAATTAAACAAATTCGTAGCAAGGTTCACTCAATTCACCATTTTCATGTGCCTTTTTACTTATTTCTCCATTAATCTAGAACGGTTGTAGAAAATATAACATCACACAATCGAAAATAGTTATATGTGTATGTTTATTCTTAAATGTCATTAAAAAAACAAATTAATAAACACAAATTCTACCTTTTCTCTGTCTGTTGATTGTCCGTCACCGTACCGGACATTAGATACTATCGAGTCCAAACATTTTTTGCCGGGGTAGTTTAGACACAGTGAATATAGTAGCTTTAAAACTGTTCATTTTGTTGTTGAGATTGGTGCAATACATTTTTTTGGTTAAAATGTATAAATGTAACATGGTATATTTTATATTGAATGAAACTATAATTCAGCTGATTATAGTAAACTTGTGTTTTTAAATACTTATCATTTCTTCTCAAATTCAAATGATCACAAAAAAGAAAATATATTTTTCGATGCAAAACTTGATAAAAATTTTATTAGGCAATGCCATATTTATCTTCATGGTCTCAACACTACAATACTTGTTTAAGATTCAATATTTTGACGACTTGTTTATTTGTATAAACAAGCAGATGTGCTTTGTACCTCATATGTACCTTAATTGAATTATTTATACATGTAGGCTGTGCAAAGTTTGAAGTTGAAGCCGTTGTTTGTGTGGTTCTTGAGGAAGATGGGACTGAGGTTGATGCAGCATATTTTTCACTCCTACCAGAGAATACTAATTTAATGATACTCTGTCCCGGACAAACCTGGCAAAAAGATACACCACAGAGTAGCACCACACCTAGTGATGAAAGTAAGTAAGAATTCTTTCAAAGAAAAGCATAAAAAGTTATATAAGTATTGAAATATCTCATTTCCAAAGAGATTATTCAGCACCACCCCTCAGTCATGGTCTGTTTAATTAAAAACAATGAACAGTTTTAATATTAAACTTTGTGATTAGGTCAGTTTTTTCATATTCAACTGTTTGTAAGATTGCAATCAAATTGCAAATCGTTCTAAGGCACTGGGCTTCCATAAGAAGAAGTTGGTGTTGTAGTAAATATTAGTTTTGATTGCACAAAAATTTCTATCCTCATAATCAACTTCTACTTCTACCACTGAGTGACCACTGTCATCTATATAAATAAGAAGATGTAGTATGAGTGCCAATAAGATAACTCTCCATCCATGTCAAAATGTATTTAAAGTTAACTATATGTTCACTCTTCTCTGTCACTTGTTGGGTGTGTGCATGCAAAGGAACATGAGCTATAATCAAATATTTTGGTAAAAGGGAATCCCTTGCACATGTTGAGCTCTTACTTAAATTTCATTATATACTTTTGAGAAAAAAACAGTTAAGGGAACCCATTGTCATGACACAAAATCAGTTACATGAACAAGAAAAATAAAAAAACAAAGGAACAGCACTTTCATTGCTGATCTTCATCCTCAAGTCAACCTGCTGCTGTTACATCCCCAAACTTTAGAGTCGGAGGTAGAAATAATGGGTATTGAGTTAGAGGGAGAGAATTAATTGGTAAAGGTGCCCAGAAGGGGGGATATAATGATCCAGGACAGTTTTGGAATGCTGGATATATGAATCGGCCTCAGGGTACATATTTTATATTTAGATCTATTATTTGAAGGGACCTTGGTCGCTGATTGGTCTAAGTAGTTTAACTACCATAATCAATGAGGGGGCTAATGGGGGGTTGTCATCACGGTTCACGAAATGTTTAATTTGCTGATCACAGTTCACAGGAAATATCTCAACACTGTTCACAAAAAATAACAGTTTAACACATTCATCACTGTTCATGAAAAACGACGATTTAAAACCTTCATCACGGAGAACGTTTATCAAATTGAATTAAAAATGTGTCAAGAAAAATGCACTAATCACGAGTCATGGATACTAAATCCATGTAAAATCGAATCACGGAAAGCAAATTTCCACAATCACGAAGGACAAAAATAACCCATCAGCACCTAGGCTCATCAATACAAGTCAACACTGAGCTTCTGCTTGCGAACCCTGCTTGGGTGGGTGCATGCGACTCCAATCTTTATCATGTTTATTTACTAGGATTTTCAGTTTTCCTATTGAAGGTCTGTGTTTTTTTCCAGCAGTCCGGCTTCCTCCATTAAAAAACTGGCTGGCTTGAATAACCCAAAAGTGGTGCTAAGTTAAGTGGTGTTAAAACACCTTGAATCAAAATCAAATCTATGATTTGAATGGGAATTCTTAATAGGACAGAATTTAACCCCTTGTACTTTTTGATATTTTAAGGGATAAACCCAAGGTTGATGTCATATATAGAAAAGTGTAGGACCACCAGCAGAGTTTCAACAGCTGAGGTAAGGTTTTTAAATTCTCAACCTCTTTTGTTCAAAGTTCCAAATTGTGCAATTGAAGTTTTTTTTATATTTATTCCAGAATCATAATGCCTAATCAGATAGTACAAATATGAACATTTGCTCTGCTTTTGTTAAGCAGACAAAATGATCTGTTAAATTGTGAACAACAATTGATATAAAAAAATAAAAAAATAAATGTATATTTTCCCAAAGGAATCAACTTTTTAGCTCACCTTTCCTGAAAGGAAAGGTGAACTTTTGCCATCACTCGGCCTCCGTTGTCTTTAGTCGTAAACTATTTCAAAGATCTTCTCCTTTGAAACTACTAAACAAATTCCAACCAAACTTAAGCTGAATGATCCTAAGGGTATCTAGATTAAAGTTAATGTTTTATATTCCATTTCGTCAAAAAACATGGCCGCCATTGCTAAAAATAGAACATATGGGGTAAAATGCAGATTTTAGCTTATACCATAAAGCCCTTAGAGCAAATCTGACATGGGGTACAATTTTCAGTAGGTCAAGATTTATCAACCCTGAAATTTTCAGATGAATTGAACAACTTATTATTGGGTTGCTGCCACTTACTTGGTAATTTTATGGAAATTTTGCAGTTTCTGGTCATTATCTTGATTATTATTATAGATATTAAGATAAAAGTTTGTAAACAGCAAAAATGTTCAGCAAAGTAAGATCTACAAATAAGTTAAGATGACCAAAATTGTCAATTGACCCCTTAAGGAGTTATTGTCCTTTAATGACAATTTTACACAATGTTTTCATAATATTTAAAAAAAAATAAAAAAATCTCCTCTGATCTACCGAACCAAATTAAACCAAACTTAATCTGAATGTCCATTAGGGTGTCTTAAATAAAGTTTGTGTTTTATTTTCTATTTTTTCAAACAACGGCCATCTTGGCTAAAAATAGAACACATAGTAAAATGCAGTTTTTAGCTTATATTTCAAAAACTCCAGCATTTAAGTCAAATAAGACAAGAAGTTTAAGTATTAATTAGGTCAAGGTCTACATGCCCTGAAATTTTCAGCCATTTGGGTAACCAGTTTTTCAGTTATTGCCCCTGAATTTATGATTTAAAGAAATTTTCGGTTTTTGGTGATTATCTTGAAAATTATTGTACATACAGATAAACTGTAAACAGCAAAATTGTTCAGCCAAGTAAGATCTACAAACAAGTCAAATGACCAAAATTGTCAATTGACCACTTAGGAGTTGTTGCCTTTTAAGGACTTTTTTCACAATTTATTTATCATGTTGGCTTACTTTAAAAAAATCTCCATGGAAACTGCTGAATTAATTTACAGCCAAACTTAGTCTGAATGAGACTCAGAATATCTAGTAATATAAGTTTTATATTTTATTTCTTTGTATGTCAAGAAACATAGCCCTTATGGCTAAAATAGAACATAGGGGGAAATGCATGTTTTTTTTTGCTTTTGAAGAAGATATGACAGATTCGAAGAACATTTATACAAATTGAAAAGCCAAAATAATTATTGATGAAAGATTTAGGCAAAAAAAATTAGGGTGAGGGATTCATGACACTTGAGAGCCTCTTGTTTTAATGTAGCAGTGTCTAAAATTGAAGATGAGTGCATTAGATATTGATATTATTTATTTATCTGATTTTTACAGGTGGATACTCAAACAATAACAACATTAGTCTTTCTGCATAATACCTACTTTCTTTCAATTGAAAATCATTTGCAATCATGCTATATGATGCTTCTCAACTCAGCTGACCTAAAAGGTCAAAAGAGCATTCGATGTCTGGGTCAGTTAACTTTTTATACATTTATAGTTTGATTTTAACATAATTGGTGCCTGCGTCTGACAAATATTTCTGTCATTAGGAGTTCTCCAATATGAATGTGCTAAATGATTTCATACTTGGCCACCAGCTTAACAATGAGTTTTAATGTTTTCAGATTTTTCAGATACCAACTTTGAATCCTGTTTGACAATTAAATTTGAAAACATTTCAATTTGTAAAATGAACTTCAACATTTTTCATCAAACAACAAAGTTGTCGGTGCCATATAGTTTGACCCTTGTCCGAAATTCCAAAATTCCGTTATTCTGATATTCCATTATTCTCAAATTCCATAATTCCGTCATTCGGCAATAAACCATTATACAGTTTTTTACTATACGCCTTCAGATATTGGGCTGATTTTTGGTATGTGAGTTAACCATGATGAGTTACAGATCAAGTTTCAGTATCTTTCCGCTTCACTAATTTTTGCCGAAATTACAGACTTTGGACTTTGAGAAATTGTTGAAAATCACAGTTGTACAGACTTTTTTTGGAAACACCTTCAGATATTGGGCTGATATTTGGTATGTGAGTTAACCAAGATGAGTTATATATCAAGTTTAAGTTTCGTTCCGCTCCACTAATTTTTGCCGAAATTTATACGTACTTTTGACTTTGAGAAATTGTTGAAAATGTCTTTTTTTCTAAACGTCTTCAGATATTGGGCTTATTTTTGGTATGTTAGTTAACCATAATGAGTTACAGGTCAAGTTTAAGTTTCGTTCTGCTCTGCTAATTTTTGATGAAATTACCGGCTTTGACCTTTGATAACTTGTTGAAAATCACATTTATACAGATTTTTTTTCTATACGCCTCCAGATTTTGAGCTGATTTTTTATATGTGAGACTACCATCATGTTTGTGTCCACATGTGTTTATATTGAAATTGCAGATTTTTCAACTTTTTGGGACAGGGCCATTTGTGTCGCTTTGACACATCTAGTTCAGATAAAACTTTCCTGTTTGCCGATGCTTTAAAAAAAATTCAATATGTACATGAACTTCAAAATTTTTTGTCAAAAACTTCTTCGATATGAATGCGTGGAATGACTTCATACTTGGCCACCAGCTTAACAGTCATGAGTTGTAAAATGTGAGAATTTTTCAAATGTTTTCATTACCAACTTCATGTTTCCTGATACTTTGAAATTTTTTCAATATGTTCAGCCATTCTTCTGAGTTAAAGGGGAGGCATGCTTAGCACAATATTGTGTGCAACTTCTTGTTCATATTATAATATAAAAAATGTTTATATGCTCATATTATAATATAAAAAGTTAATCAAGTTTCAACTATTCAAAAAAGATTTAAAAATTAGTTTTATTCCATTTTTACAGAAGAAAACAACATCAGGGAGTAGAACTAAGACTGTAATTATTGGATGGCAGCACTTTTCTTATTCAATAAATAAGTACATTCTCATGAAAAACAGTACCAAACAGTTCAACATTGGACCAAGACCAGTTCAGATGAATAAATGTTTGACCCAAAGCCAAGTCCTCCAGGAGATGGTGCATATTTTTTTTCCAAATGGGAAAAACTTTAAAGGAAAACTCCACAGGATGGAGTATTTCCTGGGTAACTATAAGGGCGAAGAGGCAGCCTTCACACAGTTGGTAGAATATGGTAAAGATAAACCTCACTTATATTTACACACAAAAGAAAAGGTATGGGTAAACCAAATTATGGATCACTATATGTTGCATTGTAATATATTTTCATGTGTGATGAAAAGGTTTTGTCGCATATTAAGCAGAATCTCATACATCAACATTTTAAGAAAATAAAGGGATATTTAGTAAATGTACATACAAAATGCATAGAAAAAATACAAATTATCAATATACAGGGCTTTTATTCCTGTTCAACTTGTCTGTCAATGTAGGGTCTTCAACAATGAACAAATCATTCATACCCTACTATGAGATCAATACGGCCCCTAGCGACGACTTTTAGACCAATGAAAAAAATGTATTTTTAGCTCATGTTTCCTTAAATGAAATGTAAGCTTTAGCCATTTCTACTTGGCATCCATTTTCATCCCTCGTAAACTATTTTAAAAATCTCCTCTGAAAGTATTGAAATAATTCTAACCAAACTTTAGCTGAATAATTCTTAGGGTATCTAGAATTAAGTTTATGTTTTATTTTCTGTTTCTTCTAAAAACATGGCTGCCATGGCAAAAAATAGAACATATGGGTAAAGTGCAGTTTTTGGCTTATGTCTCAAAAACTAAAGCATGAAGAGAAATCTGACAAGGAGTTAAAGTGACACATTCACCAAAGTTGTTGAGGGATCTCTTAAGGAGTTATTGCCCTTTAAATACAATTTTACACAATTTGTTCATCATGTTTCCAAAAAAAAAGTGAGTGACATAGAATTAAAACTAATTAAAAGTACAAATATTCATTATGATGCGATCTTTTTAATTTGTATGCCAAATTAGGGTTTTGACCCCAATTCCATGGTTTACTGAACATGGATAATGAAAGTGCAATTGTGGTATCTGTGTAGTGTGGATAAATGTTCTTGGTTGACTAAATTACCATACATGGAAGAAATTGTCCAACTTGGAAACAGTCTGTGTTCAAAATAGGTTACAAATATTACTGGAGGCTTCTGGAAACCTAAAAGCCTAAAAATGTGGCACACAGTACATATTTTGCCTTAATTGTAATTAGTGAAACTGGACTTCAGAATTTAAAGGTGCATGTAGTATTATTTTTCAAATATATGTAGTATTGATATTAATTTTTTATTGCAGATACCTAAATTTGAGGTCCAATCTTGTTCTGACAGTCAAGACAGTGATATAGAACTACCAGCACTGTCAACTTCAAGGAACTCGCCTCAAAATGCCACTCCATCTTCGTCGCAAACTTACCAATTGCAATATACCACTATGGCCACACCTGCAAGTAACCAATATACCACTATGACCCCACCAGCAAGTAACCAATATACCACTATGACCCCACCAGCAAGTAACCAATATAACACTAGGACCCCACCAGTAAGTAACCAATATAACACGTTGACCACGCCAGCCAGTACACACGTCTCTCCTGCAAACTGGATACAGCTAGACACACCAACTGTCAGCGTATCGAAAGACTTCATGCACAGGTCAATTACCGCAGTTAGTATATTTCTAAATTCATAAAAATATGTATACCCTTTATAAAAGGGGACCAAACTGTTTTCTTTCAGCATGTCTGTCTCATAAATATATTTTTTTATATGAGTGAGCTATACCATGTGTTGTGTTTTCAGATTCATCACTCAACAACTTCCAAACACTAAACTCTTTTATACATAGTTGAGAATTTCCGTTCTATTTTTCTCCAGAACTACATACAAGATCTTTCTGGAATTTAGTATCAATGATAGAAATGTGTTCTATACCATGTAAAATTTTAAGATTCATGACTCAACATGTGAAATGAACACTTGCATATTATTTAACATAATAGGTTAGTTGATTAATTTTGGTGCATTTTTTATGGAACTTAGTAACTTATCGGTGCTTTCTGAAATGTGGTATAAAGGTTAATATGAGTGAGCCATATGTTTTCAGTTTCATCACTGAATAACTTCCTGTTAGCTGTATACTTTTTATGAGGGGTATCATTATTATTTAACATAGAATAAACTAGAGGTACTGTGATCAGAGCTCACAAAATTATACTGCTGTTCCTTGCAAAGTTGATGTTATGGTATTGGAAACTCTAAAAATCAATTTGACCAGAAACCAAATAGGATTATGTTCTTATTCAATACTTCAAACGAACATAAAGCATTTACAAAGTAAAAACTCAACACAGTTTTTGGTTATCAGCTCGCCCCGACAGCACAGAAAGCTTATTTTTATTATAAACAATAAACAAATGTCCAATTTGCTGTCATCGACCGCTGCCATCACATATAAACACAATCTACAATAGAAAAATGTTCTATAAGTTGAAGAAAAAATCATTTCGATTTACATACATGTATTTTATCAACTATTTTCTACATAACATACTGATTCACATTCCTATGAAGTCTTAATAAAAGGGGTGGGTGGGTGGGAAAACGAACCTTTCTGTCGGATAGGCGAACCTCGAATGACAATTCTAGATATCTTATTATAATTTTAGCGCTAAAATTCTAGCATGAAGTTATCATGATTGATATAACTTAAACCGGTAATAACTTACTGATGGTCCAATCAAATTAAACATAAACATGTTTAGATTTAAACACACGTGTTAAAAGTAAACAAATACACGTGTTCCCGAGTAACCTTTATAAATACATTTATGTTCTTATTCAATACTTCAAACGAACATAAAGCATTTACAAAGTAAAAACTCAACACAGTTTTTGGTTATCAGCTCGCCCCGACAGCACAGAAAGCTTCGATTGATAAAGAAAGGGACATAAAGAAAAAGGGGGGACAAACAATATAAATTACAATCCTAAATTCTTAGATACTGACAATCTGTTGAGTATACTCTCTTTAACATAACCATCTTTGGCTTTATCACTTTTCCATCTCCCGTGTTTCTTAAACAACCGGTCATCTATTCCAGCTTCTGCCGCGGCAGTAGCTCCTCCTGACCTCAAACTATGTAAGCCAAACTGTTTTTTATCAAGACCTAAACTGTCAAGTGCAGATAACAATAACACTCTGGCTCTGGTGTAAGAAATATGACTACTCTTTCTAAGTTTGTATATATTCAAAGATTTACAATAACAAATAGATCTAAAAATAAAATCATTCGATTCTTCAGGAAAGTTAGCTAACTTTAGATAACGCTGAAGTACATCTACCGGGCATGTAATATTCCCTGTTTTTGAAATGACAACATCTTTCCCTTCCCTATATACATCAGTTTTACTCTTGACTAAATGAAGTGTAAGGTAAGTAGGGGAAAACTGTATATCAGACCTTCTCAAGTTAGCTAACTCGGAGAATCTTAAAAAGCCAGCATAGGCTAATAAACACATACATGCTATTCTTACATCTTTTAAATTACAAGTATTATTAGCATATTTACATACAATATTTTTCAAAATATGCGGTGTGATAGGTTCTTTTTTGACAACTGAATGACCTATTTTTCTATGAGCCCCTTCAAGAACAGATGCAACTAGATTATTTTCACTGGGATCAGCAACGCCAGCTAATTTATGTGCCCATTTTATGGCGTAAAAAGCATCATTTAATTTTGAAACCGATTTTGCAGTTTCAGACAAATGAATTAAATATAAAGAAATATGTAAATGAGATGCTGGCAATGGTGAAAAAGAATATTGACTAGTCCACTTACACCATGAATTGAAGGCATATCAATATTTCTTCTGAGTACTCGCAGCCTTGGACGAAAGAAGGAATTCTGGTAACTGTTTGAACAAACTGCTGAGATCATTATTAGAGGCAACTTGTGAATTAAAGTCTGACCAATGTCCTACTGAAAAAATATCTGAAAAACGTAAAATTGCAATAACATTTTATATACATATACAGAGGACGATTATTAGCATATTTCAGATTTCTATACACAGTAAAATATAATATATATTCAAATATTTCAACGCCAGCTACAATATCTTTATAGATACTAGGGCCATAAACTGTAAAACAAATTACCATGCCTGCTAAAATATCATTATAGATACTAGGGCCATGTCAAATAAAAAACCAAGCCTGCTACAATATCATTACCGATACTAGGGCCATGTCAACATAAACACCCATGCCTGCTACAATATACATATACTAGGGCCATGTCACAAACAGACCATGACTGCTACAATATATCTATATATATATTAGGGCCATGTCACAAACAGACCATGCCTGCTAAAATATATCTATATATATTAGGGCCATGTCTAAGATGCATCTAGCAAAACAGCCAAAACTGGCGAACCAAACGGTTCAATTCCGAATATCGTATTCTTATTCGAACCTTGCTTATAAATACCATCAGTATTTTTAAACACAATAACATCTTTTACGTAATCTTGATAAATCAGATGTTTATCGAATATCAAAGGCCAGAATGCAGCAGAAATCCACTTAGGCACAACTAACGTGCCTCGAGCTTTACAAGCTATAATGTGTTTAATCGATCGTATCACAAGATTAATTGGTGGAACTAGCCAATTATTTTCATTGGTCCAAACTTGAGAAAATGCATCAACTGCTTCAGAATCAGGTTGCCAAAATAAGGAGTTAAATCTCATAACTTTTCTATTTTCGACACTTGCAAACCTGTCAATCGAATAAGGACCCCACATATCATTTAAAAAATTGAAAAATATATGTGTGACTCCCCAGTCCTCGAAATCAACCATTTTGCTGATATAATCAGCCTTTTCATTTTCTTTTCTGGGAATCCATTGAATGTCAATTGATATTCCTTTTTGAATGCAAAATGAAAAAATAGATTTTGCTATAACATGAAGATTTTCTTTCATACTTCCCGAATTAACAATTTTGACACAATTTTGATTGTCAGTAAACCACTTTATAGTTTTTCCTGTGAAACTATTCTTAAAAGAAAAAAGGGCCAACTCTATAGCTTTCAGCTCTCTCCATGTGGAGCTTTGTACCGTTTCACTACATGTCCACATCTTATGGAAAATCTTATTTTCTAATTCAACGGTGTATGCACCAGCGGCAATATTACTAGCATCTGAGTATATGACAACAGAAGATTTACTGTAATGACATAAATTACGATAGTTAATCATGGTGACATTTTCTAACCAGAACTTTAACTCTGATAAAACCTCGACGGGTTTGTACCCTGTAATGGGAATATCCCACCCAATTCTACTTTCAATTTCCATGTAACAGAACTTTGACATAATTCTAGCCACATTTCCGATTACGGGAGTCATAGAAATAATTCTACCTACAACCTGAGCTAAAGATCTAGCTGTAACATAGGGAAATTTAGCCAAAATTACATTCAATGAGAAAATCAAATCGTCAACTCGACGTTGAGTAATAGATAATTTGTATTCTTTCGAGTTCCAAACTATTCCCAACCATTCTAACTCGGTAACAGGTTTAAAAACAGACTTCTCCTCGTTAATAAGGAAACCAGCATCAATCAAAGACCTTTTTACGAAGGACGATTGCTCATTACATGTATTTTCATCTGGACTCATGCCAAATCCATCATCTAAATACAAAACAACTTTTATACCGTTTCCACGCCAAAATTTTACTAGTGGCCTCAAACATTTAGTAAAAATGTACGGACCGGTAGTAATTCCGAAAGCTAAAACAGTATAGCAATAAAATTGACCTTCCCACTGAAAACCTAAGAAAGTCTGTTGCTGTGAGCATATGTCTAAGTGAAAATAACCAGATTTTAAATCAAACTTAAACAGATACATATCTTTGTCAAAATATTGTATAGCTAACTTCCAATCCTCAAATTTTATTTTTTCGCGCTTTATGTGTTTATTCAATTGACTCATATCTAAAATAAGTCGTTTCTTACCGGACTTTTGAGTAGCAACACTCAATGGATTTACCACATATGGTTGAAAAGGCACTTTAATTACGCAACCTATTTGAACTAAATCTTCAATTGACTTTGTGACAAATTCAGTATTCTGCCGTGCTGATCTATTATTTCTGTGGTACATTTTAAAAGGTGTATCTATAAATGGAATAACATAACCATTTTTTATTGTATCAAGCACAAAAGGACAAGCACCTATATTTTCCCAATACTTTACATGACAAGCTAATCTACCTTTCACCCCTTTAAATTTATCATATGACTGACAATTTTCAAAATATTGAACTTGATCTAAAAAAGATTCTATATAATCGTTATCAACAAAACATGTAGAAAATTGGTCATTAATAGTGTCTAAATACTTATCATTCACAATGACTGGAGAGTGACGTTCAGGCCCTACTTTACTACTTCTGGTAGGTTGTGGAGTTGCTGTTGGATGACCTGAGACTGGCGAGAAGAGGACAGTTTTTTCTCCAGTGGCCTTGTTGCTTGCAGTAGTGGCACGTGTCGATTGAGCAAGGCTCACGCCTTGCGAAGCTCCCACGAAAGGGCTGTTGCTGATTACGTTGATAATGCTGAGCGTAAGCAGGGTTACCATAAGATTCCGCAGGTTGTTGACGAGGCGGATTTTTTGGGTAAGGTTGCTGGCGAGATTTTGACTTCTCCTTGGAGGTACGGATAGCTCTGGTCTCAGCTTGTCGTATCTTTCTCTCATCTTCAGAATCTGAAGCCACGGCATTGGATTCGTATTCCCTAACGGTTCCCCAACCAGCAGGGGAAGCATCAGCTATGCGTATTTTCTTATTACGGCTTTTGATCTTATCAGTTATGTCAAGAACTAATCTATAGGCTTGAGTATTGGAGTTAGGGATGAATTTTGAAAGTTTATTAACAGTGTCTAATAATTCCTCGTTAAAGGTGTACTGAATTCTGTTTCCTTCCCCCTTAAATTTTAGAGTGACGTCCTCCTTAATTTTTCTCTTAAGGCAATCTTGTTCTTGTATGAGTTCAGATTTCAACTCACCTAACTTGCTGTCTAAAATTGTCTTAAAAAGCTCTACAGTATCTACCAAATCAGACGACTTATCAGCTGCTTTATGAATATTAGGTGGCGGTAAACTATTATCTCCTTCGAGTAGTATGTCTTCATTCAATTCCAGACGTGGAGAAGATTCGGACATTTTACCAAGTGGCGATTTAAGAAAAAACGAACCTTTCTGTCGGATAGGCGAACCTCGAATGACAATTCTAGATATCTTATTATAATTTTAGCGCTAAAATTCTAGCATGAAGTTATCATGATTGATATAACTTAAACCGGTAATAACTTACTGATGGTCCAATCAAATTAAACATAAACATGTTTAGATTTAAACACACGTGTTAAAAGTAAACAAATACACGTGTTCCCGAGTAACCTTTATAAATACATGGTGCACAATGGTATTATATGATTAAGAATCTCCAAAAGTTTCATTAAATAATGATTAGCAGTTTAGGAGAAGTTGTTGATACAAAATGAGTACCCCAGTTATATGGCAATGGTAAAGTCCATGTTTTTGAAATAAAAACTAAAAAAAAATAACCTTGAACAAAAACAAAATAGGAGTGCATTATAGCATTATATCATAAAAAATCTTGAGAAAGTTTCATTAAATTATAATAAGTGATTTAGGAGGAGTTGGTGATACAACATGGATACCCCCAAGGTTTTGTCAATTGAAAAGTCCCTGTTTTTTAAATGGAAATCCCAAAAATGATTTTGAACAAAAACAAAATAGGTGCACAATGGCATTATATCATAAATAAATCGGGGAAAGTTTCATTAAATTATAATCAGTGGTTTAGAAGGATACAACATGGATACCCCTATTTCATGGCAATAGTCCCATGTTTTTCAAATGGAAACCCCAAAAATGATTTTCAACAAAAACAAAATAGGAGGTGCACAATGGCATTTCGTTCTGATAAGTGGTTAAGGAGGAGTAGGGGATACAAAATGAAACATAGTGTGCAAGACGGACACAGGGAAGGATGGACTTTCCCATCACTATATACCTCCACTTTAAAAAGCGGGGGTATAAAAATGAAAATGGGGAATGTGTTAACAATTTGCAAGGCTTCAGCTTAACAATTACATGATCAGTTCTTTGTATTTGTATTCATATCTAGTATATTAATGTTTTGATATTGGGGTTCATGACAAATATATGCCGAGCGAGTGTAGCAGAAACACATTTTCTTGCTTCTTCAGATATATGCATACATTTATCAAGCCTGTTTTTCCATAGTGAAATGGCCATTTTATTTCAGATTATTTTATAATCCTAATGCAGTTAATCATCCACAGCAATATATGGTTATGTTCATTGATTTTTTCTCTGTATTGTGAGCAATTTGTCCCATGTACATTTACAAATGTACTTCATATCCTTTTATTTTTTATGAATTATTGTCAATCAAAAATCAAGTGAAATTATCAAATAAACACAAAAAGCTTGTAGAAAGTAGAAAAGATATTTCAATACCTATAATGCATTTTAGGCCAGGTCAGTCATAAACCTGGTCTATAGTATGGTGATGTTGGGGAGGCAGTATGGCCGGCAAATTGGCAGGAAGGGAAAATGGGTATATAATTTATGTAATCAAGTCGTCCTACAGTTTTGAATCTAGATCATTAAAATTTTACAGGAAGTTTATATATATATATATATATATGTATTGACCTTTATTACAGTTCACCTGCAAATTGGGAATCATTTAAAGATTTTTTTCACCCATTTTCAGGACAGAAAATTTTAAAAAAGAAGGTTGCATTAGTCTTGTGTAATCAGCACTATAGTTTTCAACCTAGGTCTGTGAAACATTACAGGAAGGCAAGCCAACACACATGTTTAAGTTCTGAACAGGCTATTATGGAATTGTTTGAAGAGATATATCTGGTTTTTCAAATTTGGAAGCATAGTTATTTTCCAGTAAAAAATATAAACAGTGTATTTTCTTGTAATTATCTCCTGATCACACAGTTTTCAACTATGATCCTAATTCAAAAATCACTAAACCAACCTGGGCATTTTAAACTGACCAATTTTTATTTTTTTCTTCTATCAAAAGCTTACTAACAACTAAAAATTCTATTGATTATCTTTGTTAAAATAAAAAAATCTGACAATCAGACACAATTTTTTCCTTAGTTTTAGGTAAATCAGCTACCAATTTTATGCCAAACTGTTAATTAATGTAACATTATAATTTCTTGTCTTTTAGCATGATGATAATTCACAAAGGTGCACAGTGTGTGTGGATCGACCACATGCAGTTATAATACCATGTGGTCATACATTTTGTATGGCATGTGCTACAAAGATTGAGGCATTAGACCAGCCTTGTCCGGTATGCAGAACAGCCATTCAAGATGTAAATCAGTGTTTTCCTTAAAAGAGGATTATAGACATAATGAACATGTATGATGATATGAGATTTGTTTTTGTATTTTTTCATGGTAGTATAAATGATGGCTGTGAAGTAGTTCTGTCATTTTTGGATAACTTTTGTTCAGGCAGTTAGCACCATTCCATAGTTGAAGGTCATGATAGAAATTTTACCTGATTTGACGACAACTCTATCTACATATACTTAAATGTTTACAATGGTTTTATGTCAGACATGCATTTGAGCTGTTGCACTCTTTAGTCTGTTTTGTGCAACTGTCATTTATTTATGCATGAATATAAATAAGATAAGTGTATCATTTTATAAAATCCATAATTGACATGCTTCCATTTATTGATCAGATCACACAACTTGTTCTGTTGTTATGAGTCTAAAGACGACAATCTTTCTTCTGTTTATTGTCATACTAAAATGTTTGTTTAAAGGTTGACAGTAGCTCTACCTTCATTATGACAAAGTCTTCAAATTTCATATTTTATTGTGTTTATCTTATGAACATTAGGAAAATGTTGTAATTAGATCATGTAAATGATTAGAAATGCTTCAACATCATCATTTCGTGGAGTCTTTATTTATTTAAGTTTCTGGCCTAATATATTTATTTTTGCAGTAGATGTAAATTTGAGTTACAGCAAAAAAATAGTAATGTAGGTGCTGATGGCTTGAAATATTGGTATGATAAAAACCCACTTTCCTATAGAAACTGACTCCTGCAAATGTATTAAAAAAAACTTAGGTGTTAACTATTAAACCAAAAAAAAATATTGAAATATCAGGCAAACAAGAAATCTTTTAATTACAAACAAAAAGGAAATGTTTTTGTCCTCACAAAATGTCTGAGATATGTAACTTGGTCAGCAATGTCAAAAGTTCTCTTTTTCAATATTAGCATTATGTTGTTGATTCGAAAAGTGAGCTTTAATTTATTTAAAAGGCAGGGTTAGTTCATTAAAACCTCAGAACTGTTTTACAGATAGCATTTGTTTCCCAGAGAGGGATTTTTTATGTATTGTGGTTTAATCTTAATTGTATCTTTTAGATATATGGTTCTGTATTTTTTGTAAGTGAATCTGACAATTACTGATCAGGTTTTATATGATAACAATTAATAAATTTCATTTTTTTTATATATATACTATAGCATTTTTTTTGGTTTGTTATGCCATGGATTTGGAAAACATAAGGAACTATTTTGACATATGTTAACTAAATAACACAAAACAGTTTTAAGTTCTTATTTTCCCTATTTTTGCAAGGACATATGGAACAGAAAGTATCAAGCTCAATTTATTTATCTCAAACTAGTAATGGCCATTAATGTGCAATTTAAGCTATATTTCTGTTTCATTTTATTGTATGATTTTAAAAAATCTCCTCTGAAACCACAAGATTGATTTGTATTAATGTTCTTTAGAACGTTTTAAAATATTTTTATGCGGTATTCTGCACAGAACTGAAAATGGGATTTTTATTTGGTGAAAAAACAAGGATGTCATTGTAAAAAAGATCATATGTGTAATGGTAAATTGTAGTTTTTAGCAATCAAATTAAAATTTATGAGATATATGGGAGAGAAAATGATCAATGACTCAACAAAAAGCTGCCCTTTAATTTTTAAAAATAATTTGAGACCTTTCTGGGAGTTTTGGCTGTTTATTTATTACTGATATCTATTTATATTATATCAACAGTATAACAGCATACGTAATTAATTAATTGAAATATGTTCAGTTAACATTTGAATTTGTATGATTATTCCTGAAGTATTTCCTTTATAACATTTTATGATTATAAGTTATATTTTAATTGCAATCATAACTTGCATTGTTATTTATTTAAGTTCTCATTTTATACAAATTGTATTTTTATTTTATTGGTCTCTGGTCTGATGATCAAACTTTACTTTTTAATAAAATGTTATGATGTTTTGTTCTTTATTTTAATTTATTATTGCTTTTAATTTAATATATTTATTAATTGATCATAATCAACCTTTGATCAAATATCACCATTCACAAATGATTGATAACAATAGTTTGACTTTCAAATTTTAAGATTCAATATAAACCTTCCTATTTTGTGCTTTGAGTCTACAGTTTTATCTCTAGTGTCGCTGCTTATCAATGGTTAGCTCCTTACAAAATCTAGGGTATACAATGTCACTTGATCACTCCAGAGTATTTTTAAATACCTTCAAACTAAGTTTGGGTGATATATATGTTTCATTATGTCAGTCTTTGGTCTGTCCAACATATAATCCACGACTGCTCATAAGATGCTTGTTTGTAGTAATACAAGTGTACTAAAGCAATGTGGGGTCACTGTATGGAGATGTGCATATTGTTAGAAATTTTCTGTTTCTTTTCGTTGATAAAGATTTCATGGTAATGTATTTAATATAAATAAGATGTGATGTGAGTGCCAATGAGACAAACCTCCATCCAAGTCACAATGTATTAAAGTAAACCGTTATTGGTCAAAGTATGGCCTTCAACACATTGTCTTGGCTTGCAACGAAGAGCATGCTATAAAGGGCCCCAAAATGACCAGTGTAAAATAATTCAAACAGGAAAACTAAAAGTCTAATCTTTATATATAAATCGAGATACAAAAACACCTATAAGCCACACCAACAAACGACAATCACCGAACAAAGGGCTGACGTAGGACGGGTGCATATAACAATGCAGCGAGTTTTAGTGTACATTCGAGACATGAAGATCATTAATGGATAATCTTTTTATTATGTCCAGTGACAATAATTTGAGAGGCATGTTAATTTACCACTGTCTGGAAATAGATACATGATTTGTCTGGTTAGCTGCTCCTTCAGTTTTTGGAAGTATATTGCTTTTAATACTTTGTAAGATGTTTAAACACTAACCTGAGGATGTGCATGTCTACCAGATTTTAATTTTTCAAAAATATTCTGAAAATAAGAGGTATGCATCTTGATTACCAAAATATATGGCGCTGAAAAAAACATTTCCGGTCTCAAAGAAACCATTTTATACCCTGATTCCCAAAATATATGGTTACTAGGAACTTTTTCAATGATAATGTGCCAAAAAAAAAACTTCAGGTTTGATCAAGGTCACTTTCAGTTGACCTTATAAGGTAAAATATTTCCTTGCACTTCAAAAGATACTAAAAAATTCAAAAGATCTTTTAGATTTAACATAAATTCTAATACACTTTCATCTTGCTGCTGAATAGTATTAACACATTCAACTCTTTACACTAAGTATTCCCCATTCCAAACTAAAAGACAATTGCAAGAGTTGGTCCTGCTTTGTTTCGTAAAAACAGAGTGGCCAATGTAGATACAAGTATATTGTCTTAGAAAGGGATAAAGTACTTTGTGAAGGGTCACCCTGATTCTAACAAAAAAATCTCCGAAACTGACATTATCAAGATGCTTGATTTCTTGATTGACAACATTTTTGTTACGCTTGGAGGACGTGTTTTTCAACGAATAATCGGCATTCCCATGGGTAAAAACTGTGCCCCTCTTCTTGCCGACTTGTTCCTTTATTCATATGAGGCTGGCTTCATAAGAAAAAAAAAAGAAGTTAGCCGTGTTCTCAATAATTAGCACGTTCCGGGTCGAATCCTAACTGTGTATTGCTACCAAAGAGACAAGTAAAATGCGGCGGGTTAAAAACGGTGTTTCGTGAAATCTCAACCTCCCCCTTTTCACCTACAGCTAATGTAGATTTAGGCTAAAACACTTGACCAGGACATGACTTTTTTACTCATTTGACATAGGCTTGTGTTCTTTGGCATCATTGCATGTGAATATATCGTCGTGAGATGATGTGCCCGGTGCCACGATGATCTTAATGTGACATTGACCCCAAGGTGTTACTTTTCTACTTTATACATATGCGTTAATTTGGCATGTGGATGTATCATCATGTTATAAAAGTTGAAGCACAAGGAATTATGTAAAATTTCTTTATTAAAAAAATCTAGGAAGGTTTAAATAACAATCAATAAGAAGATGTGATGAGTGTCGGCCAATGAGACAAATCTCCATCCAAGTCACAATGTAAACAAAGTTAACAATCATAGGTCTAAGTACGACCTTTAACACGGAGCATTAACTCATACCGAACAGTAAGCTATAAACGGCCCCAAAATAATCAGTGTAACACAATTCAAACAGGAAAACAGACGGTCTAATCTATTTACAAAACGAGAAACGAGAAACATCTATGAAACATTCCAACAAACGACAACCACTGCTGGTTCCTAACTTAGGACAGGTGCATATAATATATGCAGTGGCCGGTTTGAAGATTTTAACAGGCACCAACCTTCACCCTTAACCTGATACAGCAGTATAACATTACAACAAGAAATGGCTAAACTCTATCAAAAATACGAATTACACAAAATACAACAACGAGAACAAACACATCTCGCGACAAAGCACGAATACAACAACAAACAGCCTGCTAGTTGATAAATTGTAAATCCCCCCATTTTTGGAAGATGTACAGGGTGAAGACGTATTTTTTTTATCAGTTCACTTGATGTCTTTGAGCTGGCATGTAAGTTTGGAAAAATCGAACCTCAAAATATGAATAAAACAAGTTTTAAAATGATAAACACTTTTTGAGATCTTGCTGTTTGTTCTTCGGATTTGGATACCCGATGTGATTTATTGCCATCATACAAGGCAAACATCCAAATTGTTTATCCTTGAAGAGTTGTTTTCGTTCGGGCTAAAGCTCTCGAGGAAAACAACCCATCTCGGGTAAACAATTACAATGTTCTTTTTATATGAAGACAATAATTGTTTAATGTTACACTACTGTCTCAGGTTATGACGTCTGTTAAGGATGTTCGCTTGTTATGTTTTGGAATTTTTGTCAGATTTTCGAAATCCTATGGTTTTATCCATTTGAATGCCTTAAAAAATTTTGCCCATTGACCCCCATTTTTCTTTTTATAAATCTTTTACATGTACAATTATAAGCCATTTGTAAAAGTCTTATAAAATAGTATTTATTTATTAATAGTTTTTGAGAACTTTAACTTGTCAATGATAAGACTATGAAAAATCAATTAAGAGATAACATTTTCCCGCCTAGATTTCAATGGCTAATATCTGGAAAACAAGCACATTGACCTCTATATTTTTTTTTGCTTTTTTGCTTCCTTAATTAATCCCCTATCAATAGATACTAGTCTTATGGAAAGTTATTTATCTTGAAATTGAGTAGCAAACTTTCGTAAACGTTAAAACCCGCTGCATTTTTACACACCTATCCAATGTCATGTTGTTCAGTGGTTGTCGTTTGTTGGTGTGGTTTAAAGGTCTTTCTCGGCAGTTGTGTGCATAGATTAGACCGTTGGTTTTCCTGTTTGAATTATTTTATCATAGTCATTTTTAGGGTCTTTATAGTTGCCTGTTTGGTTAGAGACAAGGCTTGAGCAGTGTTGGAGGCCGTACTTTGACATATAATTGTTAACCTTTTATACATTGTGACAGTTAAATGAGAAATGTCTCATTGGCACTCATACAACATCTTCTAATTTAAATTGATTCTGCTGTTTGATTTTATTTTGGACCTTTTTCAAATTGTCTTAATCCAAAGTGTCCAGATCTCAACTTTTTTTTATACCCCAAACAAATGAGTGGTAGATAGGAAACAACTTGTCGTTCAGCCTGTTAATCCGTAAATTTTATCGCAAATTGTTATATATTAGATTATGGATGCTTGTCAATGTAAAATTATTAAAAAGAGAAGTATGCCCATCAAGACCTACCAGTGGTGTAATTTTCAGAAACCTTTGTTAAATAATCGTTACATGTATTACCGGAGTTATGGTACTTTAACCTGTTTAATGAACCCTTTTTTTCAGACTGTTTTTAAACTGTTAACTTTAAAACTAAAATCAGTGCCTTATGCGACAGATTGATAAAAAGCATTTGCCAGTTGCTCCCACTTTCAATGTTGAGAAAGGCAAAATGAAAGATGACCCTTTGCATCCAACTCTTCGAAAGGATAACTTTTGTTTTCAATATTAATTCATATTCACATATTTAACGAATGCTTCATTTAACACATGATATATTCAGTAAATGATTGTTTCCTGACGATACTTTTATTTTGGCATTGATTATGTCTCCTTTGACTCTCCATGGCGTCATAACACTAAATTCATGGGATGTGTTTTGATTGATATTTTAGTCTCTGACACATTTTGTTTTTGTTGCTTTTAGCTAGGTATAAGTAACTGCGAGTATTCTCAGATTGTTACTTTGTGTCTTTAGTTGGCCCGTTGACACTAGTTGTAAAGCATTTCTTTAATTCACTAATAACTTATTGTGTGATACATATCATACCATCGCATCCAACTGTAGTTTTATTGAGTAGTATATTTCTATTAATCCATATTCTATTAAAGTTCATGTTATTCTATCTTGCCGATGAAATTTAACTTTAATCTATATAACACTTCTTCGAACAACAAAATTATAATAATTAGACTTACCTGTTATTACGTGTCTATCAATATTTTTGCAACACCATTTACGTAATATTTTACTTAAGAACATATTTTTTTGTCGTAAAATTGAGCTGTCCATGGCCATGTTATACAAGCACTTGTGTTTTTATTTTATAATTAGATTTTGTCATGGGTCTAAATTTAAGTCTACTTGTTTTTGTTCACATTTTGTCGATTTTATGAGTTAGGCCTTTTTCAATTATCTTTTTATAGTGTGTCTTTTATTTGACTTGGCACAACCTTTTGAAACTTTTTTGTTCTCATTTGTTTGCTTTATTTGGCCTTTCAATGTACTTCAATTCGAGCGTCATTGTTGAGTCTTTTATAGACGAAATGCGCGTCTGGTGTAATATAAATTGTAAGCCTGACAACTTTGATATGTATTTATGAGTAATGGTACACTATTGTGAG